GTGCGTGGGCACGCACGGGCACAAGTGAAATCCGCACGGCCGTGCAACATACAATTCTGGCCGTGCGAGTTGGCTGAGGTTCAACTAATTGATACGCCGCGTTTTGAGGTGCACGGCCAGAATGGTGATATGCACGGCCGTGCACCCTGGCCGTGCGAGTCGGGATTTCCTGGTTTTGAGCCAAATTCCGAACCAAAGTCGGGGGGATTCGAGTTTTTGAGAGAGAGATCAGTTCCTAGAGAGAGAAAGTGACGAGCAAGAGTTCCCAAGTGCCCTAGATTGATCTTCAACACCATTGGAGGCCAGCTTGAGCTTGGAGGAGTGCCAATCAACGTCCAGAAGCAGGAATCCATCCTTTGCAGTATGAATTCCGTGTCTGATTCTGCTTTTGCTTTCTTCTCCATGGAGTAGTTCTCCCATTCATCTGGGTATGGAGAACCCTAGATTTGTATGTTAGGCTTTGATTGTATGAACCCAAGTACTGATTCTGTGATTGATTATATTCGATTGAGGTTTTGATGATTGAATGACTTGAATCCTGATCAAATTCCTGTTGTTTCTGCTTTAACCTAGAATGAGAATATCTGCCTAGGTTAATAGAGTATCCTTGATTGAAGGTAGGGAGTTGGTGACTTTAGTCGAGGAGCCAACTCACTATTCTGTACCGGATTTACTCCGGTAGTGGAGGTTTTGTTCTTAGGGCCTCAATCTGTCGACTCCGGTGGAGGTTAGTCGCCCGCTAGAGAGTCAGATTGAGAGGGTCTGAAGACCTTTAGTCGAGACTTCAGGCTGTTTAAGAACCTTCCGCAGTATAACTGTCATAGAAACTGAACTTGGTAATTACAATCCGGCTTAACTGCAGTCTAGGGGGAACCATATCCGGGTGACCTCTTTAACCTGAATACAACAGTTTACTTGCTTTGTTTGTTTGGTAGTTTAGACTTGCACTCTAGTTTTATTGCTAGATAACAAGAAATCACTGAGTAGTCAGCAAATCTAGGACCCGGGTTGATAATTAAACCTAAACCCGCTATACTACGCTTTAGGAAGTGGTTACACTTGGCCAATTCCTGGAGTGACAGTAGAGTCGAGTCAATGGTTAATGTAGAGCACGAGTACATAAGCTACTTGGTGAACCACGCACAGTTCAGGACCAAGTTTGCCTATCAGCGGGACATCCCGATTGGGCCACATTGGAGGCTGGAACTGGACATGTATAACATGTTCAGGTGCCGAGCCATGATGTCAGGGGTTGCTTGTCACCCCTAGTGGCGCCAGCTACTGTCAGTGGATGAGCTCATCTACCATGAGCTCTGCGTGGAGTTCTACTCCACATTATCCCACGTCGTCCTGACAAGCAAGAAGAGTCAGCCCCACGTGGAGTTTATGCTTGGCAGTCACACGCGGGTGCTGACTTATGATGCCTTATCCCAGGCCATGGGGCTCAACACCACCTATACGACGATGATGGAGCGATAGTACACCATCGATTTCCACTACCAGGCTGTATTCCAGGCCATCTGCTGCCCCGATCATGAGCAGGAGGAGTACGAGGCTGGCCGCGCTAATGTCGTTAAGCTACGGACCCCGTGGAGGATCATGCATACTCTGTTGGCCCGTTTCGTCATCCCTAGCTTGCAGTCGGGCCATCTGATCGCATACAGAGGGATGCTTTCCCTCCATTCTAAGAGGCATCCAACAGAGCTGCTCCACCTGGGATCGCTGGTGGCCACCACTTTCGCCCAGTGTCTGGGGCAGAATAGAGTGAACACCATGCACATGGGGGGTATCATCACGAGACTGGCCCGACACTTTCACGTGGATTTGGAGCGGTGCTCCATCGTCGGTCGGACTGAGCCCTTCCCAGTAGCGATTATCTACAACATGAAGTTGGTGCTTCAAGGAGAGCGAGGGATAGAGTACCTCAACGGATTTTGACCCTCAGCTGTTATGAGGCCAGCATTTGACCCAGCTCTAGTGGAGCCTGATGCAGAGGTCCCGCCTCCAAAGTAGCCACCTGCTCGAGCTCCCGACCGCCGCCGCCATCCCGCGCGCCAATGCCCTACACCACGACCACCAGCAGTAGCAGCACCACCATCAGGTGGCGGTCCTTCCACTTCTGGGGTGCACCTCGCGGAGAGGATGGACCGTCTTGATACCTACATCGTGGGAGTCACTTCCCGGCTCGACAGGCACATCGACCTGCTTGAGTGGATTGCTCGTCGTCAGGGCCTCCTTCTAGATGATGAGTCAGGGCCTTCGACTCAATGAGAGGTAGTTGACGAATGAGACATTTAGCAGAGCCGATTCCTTTCGCTCCACTTCTCCACTTGGAACTCTGAACTCTTTAGTTTTATTTTTCATTCTTTTATTTGGTATGTGCGAAAAACTACTAGTATCGTATTGTTTGTGTCGTGTTTGTGTGTGTGTTTTGTCTTTAACTTGAAGCTCAAATCTCCTACCCCATAAAAAATCCAACTTTCACTCACAAAGCAATGCGGTAACATAGCTCTACCCCCTATCTTACGCCATTGAGGGCAATGTTGAACTTAAGTATGGGGGGGGGGTAGTTTATTATTATGCTTGTGTAAGTGTGATTGATGCGGATCCTTGATGTATGCCCAAATTTGAAAATTTTGAGGGCTCCAAGCAACGTTTGCATGATTAAAGTGGCCGGTTTGTAGGAGAATCTCGTGTTTATTGGCATTGACCTTGAATTGTTGCATGTGATCGAGTGTGTCCTATGATGATGACTGAGAGGTGCATTAGGATAGTGCAAAAGTTTAGTTCTCATGTGTGCAAAAATGAATGGATGTCTTGACTCGATTACTTGTTGATTACAATTTTCATGCATTGTGTTTTGTGAAATTGGAATGGATGATTGGGTGACTAGGTAGCCATGTGAGTTTTGAGCCGATCATTTTCTTCTTGTGTGCTTAGATCCCTCTTACCATGGCGAGTAACATCACAGTTGCCACTAGTGAGTATAATGGAGGCATAAGATTAGTTGACGCCCAAATGTTGATTGTCCCAAAATGCTTTATCCCCTAGTCAACCCCTTTGAGCCTTGTGACTTTGGTGGTCGTTCTCATGTTAGGAGCTTTTTGCTTGTGAGCTTAATGGTGTTTGATAGAACGATCCCCCATCCTTTCTTCATGTCTATATGTGAGTCATCCTTGTGTCTGGGAGCTCTCGCTTTTGAGTTCCATTGAGGTTCTACATAGGAGGATTGTGTGCGGTTCTTGCTAGGAATGAAAGAGAAAAGAGTAGTGTTGGAGTGAGTTCTTAAAAGAGAGCATTGGTTGTTAAAGGTAATGTGGCAGTTTTTTACTCTCTAGTACCCCCTTAAAAGGAAAGAAAAGAGAAAAGAAAGAAAAAGAATAAAAAAAGAGGTAATAAAGCGGGGTAAATAAAGTAGAGAGTGCCACAAAAGAATTAAATTGTATGCTCTAAGAGGGGTTCTTGGCACTCAAGCCATTGAAAACCCCACATTGTTTTAGAACTCTTTCACTACCAAGTCGAAATGTGATAGCAAGAGTAGACCGAGGAAAAGCTCTTAAAGGAAGTTCATGATGGGTGATAATTTGGAAGAGATAAGCAAGGATTTTGGCCGACGCTAGTGGCCATTGTTTGTAGGGAAGGTTCTGAGTCAAAACCATAGAACCTCCACGTCTAGGGTGAATATGTAGGAACTCATGATGTGATTGTTGTAACTCCCTAACCAGGCCGGGTACTACTGTTACTAAAATGCCCTTGATAAACAGAATACTTAAATCTTAAATTGCAGCGGGAAAAATTTTCATAAATAAAATACTGAAAACACACACTTGAAGCTCAGAGCAAAGCCCTAACACGTGGGCAAATTAAACTCAAACTTTAAAATCTCAATCTGATCTCCAGTCTATACTCTTAATCATAAATGTAAATAACTAATAATCTCTAATATTGTTGCTGCTGAAACCTTGACTAAGCATCCTCTGTGACGGTTATACTGCCCTCCTCTAGCAGCCTGCCCTCGAATTTGCTGCTCACTAAATGCTCCTCTAGCTCTTACTCTAGCTCTTCAAACTGGTGAGTGAGATAGGGTCAGTCTACGCCCTTACGTGTAAATACTTATAATACTTGAGTACTTTACTTAAACACTTAACTTTAACTAGTGGAAGTTGTTTGTACTTCCAATCTTAAAATCTTAACTCTTAAACTTTGAGGGAGTTGAAGTTACTCTCCTCTCTTAAAACTCAAATCTTGACTTAAAATACTTGACTGATACTGGGATCCCCCACTAGCTATTCCGGTTGCCAACTCATATGTATGAGAAGCCATTCAGGCTATCCTTAAACTTAAACTTAGTTAGGGAAGTCGTAACGATTCATCCCCCTAACATCTTAAACTTATCGTGGTGGCTCTTCACCACGATTCTCTAGGGCATAACTGCTGCCCAACTTAAAGTCTCAAGAGCATAACTACTGCTTTACGACTTCCCTAACTAAGTTTAAGTTTAAGGAAAGCCTGAATGGCTTCTCATACGTATGAGTTGGCAACTGAACTAGCTTGTGGGGGATCCCAGTGTCAGTCAAGTATTTTAAGTCGAGATTTGAGTTTTAAGAGAGGAGAGTAACTTCAACTCCCTCAAAGTTCAAGAGTTAAGATTTTAAGATTGGAAGTACAAACAACTTCCACTAGTTAAAGTTAAGTGTTTAAGTAAGGTACTCAAGTATTATAAGTATTTACACGTAAGGGCGTAGACTGACCCCATCTCACTCACTAGTTTGAAGAGCTAGAGGAGCATTTAGTGAGCAGCGAATTCGAGGGCAGGCTGCTAGAGGAGGGCAGTATAAGCGTCACAGAGGATGCTTAGTCAAGGTTTTAGTAGCAACAACATTAGAGATTATTAGTTATTTACATTTATGATTAAGAGTATAGACTGGAGATCAGATTGAGATTTTAAAGTTTGAGTTTAATTTGCCCACGTGTTAGGGCTTTGCTCTGAGCTTCAAGTGTGTGTTTTCAGTATTTTATTTATAAAAAAATTTCCCACTGTAATTGAAGATTTGAGTATTTTGTTTATCAAGGGCATTTTAGTAATAGTAGTACCCGGCCGGGTTAGGGTGTTACATTTTGGTATCAGAGCCGGTCTTCCTCTGTTCCTGGGTCTCCAAGGAATACTGGAATATCGGTCTCAGTTTTCAAGGTATTTGTTTTTAAAGGAAAGAAAAAAATGAGTCAAGGATCTTCTTTTAAGAGTTTATAGAATCTCCAATCTACTCTAATCATAATAAGGTGAATAACCATTACAGCACGACACTATGAGAAGGTAGCACGAGATTGCAATTGGTTTAAGAATAAGCTAGAACGCGAGTTAAGTTGACTCGTCGTGGGACGTCAAATAAGAGATTGAGGCGTATGGCGATCATTAGTAAGAAAGAAAGGATGAAAGAAACGTGACCAACCCAAGTAGAATCTCAAAGGCTCTCAAGATAGAATCAAATGTGCGAGGACTTCAACTCCAAACACCAGCAAAGAGGTGCCAATTGAAAGGGAATACCTCAAGGATTTTGAAGGAGTTGAGAGAGTAGTACGAGGATTTTACTACTAGGGAACAAGTGGATGATCTAATAAGCTAAGACAAACAAAGGGGAGAAACATGAATCTCCAAAGGAAGAGGAACAATCACCAGATGCCAGTAGCTATGATACTAGGATGATGTTAGGGTCTTTGGTCCTAAGCATTGGAAAGTGGGCAACGGGTCAAGAAACGAAAAGGTACCCCGAGAAGTCCCTCAGCTAGTTTTTGTGGTCGATGGCTCAACGCCATTACCACACAGTGACAAGGAGTAGAGGAATGCTTAGACTTTAAGAAATGCTAGGGTAGTATAAATGAAGCGAAGGAGGAAATAAATAGGTAATAAGGAGTATGAAAGGACGTCAAGAAGTCAATAAGTCAAGGCGAAGATGAGGCATGGTCATTTACACATGACGACAAAGGAACCCTTATACATAAACTACGTCACTACAGAAGAGGGTACATGACCCTGGGGAGTTAGGCTGATGACAAGCCTTTAAAAGAAACAAGACAAGCAACGAGATAAATGATGTAGAGGACAAGTTATGTTTTTAGTACGACCACCATTGGACGAGACGTAGGGGAGAGTGCCACCAAAGTCTAAAGCATGCCATGTAGAAGACAGCGGGGAGTCAATAAGTAAGAAAAGATATGGAATGTGAGAGGGAATAACAGTTAGCTAGTAAATGGTAGTACGAGTAGAGAACCAATTCTCAGCAATGCCTGAGATGAATACAAAGTAAACAAGGAGCTAGAAAGAGGATATTAGAGACCCTGCAAACTACCCAAATCATGAAAGGTCAGGAGGATGTTGGGACCATTGGAAGGGGTATGCAAGAGTTCACGATGATCTATTATGGGATTGTCCTCTCTTAAATAGAGGGAACACCTAGCCTCCTAGGGTACATGAGGGGTGACAGAAGGAGGAACCTCTCTACTAAGTTGGAACTAGAGGGCTAAGAGCTGAGGTCTCGGAACTAGCTATAGAGTAAGTCATTAAGCCAACCAAGTATAGACAAGTAAGTGGCATGTTCAATAAATGTTCTAGTGAATGGCAGAGAATTCGAGGAAACACATGGAAGTTCCGATGAAGGATTGAGAATATGTGTAGGTGACTCATGTTCAAGAAAATGCATAGTGGAGTACGACGAGGAAAAGCATTACCAAGAAGGGGGAAATCATTAAGTTACCTTACCCAAGGTGCCCCACCCTGAGCTAGTACGACATAGTAGGATGTCATCCATAAAAGAAGGCCAGTTAAGTATAAATTAGTGTTATTTAGTTAAGCCACTAAGAGCCATGACCAAGAGATTATGGCTATGCACAAGCATCGGTCGAGACAAAAGACGTGGATGAGGTATGTTCAAGCCTACCAAGGGCAAGCCACTAGTGGAAGCTTTGACCCAAAACAACAACGAGAAGATACTCAACAGAGTTTGGTGACCGAAAATAGTACAAAGCATCAACAGAAGGGTAGTAAAAGTAAAGAAGCAAGGAGAACACCATAGGACGCTATAGGAAATATAAAAAAGGGGTAGTTGTCGACCAGACAAAGAATGCGCAAAGGAAGATAGTTGGGACGTGGTCAAGCACCATCGTGAGTAGAAGTCGTGGGTGTCATCCGTCAAGTCTACCTAGAGAAAGTTTCTAGTGGAAATGTTGGCTCTGGGGTATAGCGAGGAGCTACTAAACTGAGTAGATCAAAGCTAGTACCAAGCATCGATGAAGGAGTTGTGGAAGTAAGGAGGAAACCACAAGGCTATAATGAAAGTTATGGTGAAAAGGGTGGTGGTAGATAAAATGACAAATTCAGGGAGAAAGATAGTTAGGAAGAGCCGACGAAAGAATACGAAGGTCAACAAGGAGGCGTTAAGGTGATTGCCAGTGGAGAATAAGTTGGACCATAGGAAGCCCATCAAGAACTGCGAAGCTCAATGGTCAACTTTAAAGTAGAAGTGTGGTGGTCCCAAACGGTCGAAGGGAAAACCTTATCGGTCAAGGTACATTAGTAAGAAGAGAATTTGAAAACCTAGATGACTACATCGAGAATAAGGACATCATCTAGAACTAGCGAGTAACATCAAGAAGAAGAGTCACGAGTAACGAAGTAAGAGAGATACAAGTTTAGGGAACCTGCTAGAATACCCAGACTGGAACCAAGATTGCCTATGCTTGGGAAATGTGTCAATCTCTCAGGTAAAACTCTATTGGACGGGGAAACCGTATGAGGAATTTCAGGTAGGGTCTAAGAGTAGCAGAATGGATAATACGAGAACTTCAAATTCAGGTGGCGATAAGGAGGTGCTAAGTTAGGTGCCAGGAGTGAACAAGTAAGCCAAAGGGCAGTTCATGACTCTTGAAGGGAGTCATATAGTTGTTAGCAAGCTAGAGAAAGATGCAAAGGATGCCTTTAATGCATACAGGAAGTAAAAGCAGTAGTATAAGGTTTCAGAGTTAAGCAAGAAGTAACAAGGAGATGAACACTCAGTTTATGGTCAAAGGATAAGACGAGGCATCAAGGAAGAAATTAAGGGATGCAAAGTTAGGAGATACAAGGACCTAGGTGACCTATGAGGTCAACCCTAGACAAGGGTTACGTTAAAAGAGTTTTACTATCTAACAAGATGGAGGTTAAGCCGTAACAAGGAGATGAACACTCAGTTTATGGTCAAAGGATAAGACGAGGCATCAAGGAAGAAATTAAGGGATGCAAAGTTAGGAGATACAAGGACCTAGGTGACCTATGAGGTCAACCCTAGACAAGGGTTACGTTAAAAGAGTTTTACTATCTAACAAGATGGAGGTTAAGCCGCCATTAGTAACCTTAAGGTTGAAAGGGGTATTAAGAACATCAATAGGGATGTGTAAGGGATTCTCTCTTGCTAACGGCACCATATATGGTGAATTAGGCATTAAGAGTGCGTATCAAGTGGAATTATCAAAGAGGAGAATAACGAGGCCTATAAAGGGAGAAGAAGTGATACCTAGGAACCAGCATCGGAGTCAATCATTATGCAGGTCAAACATTCTCTACAGACATTCTATACCTAGGAGAGTCGTTAGCAGTCAAGATAGGGAGGACGAAGTTCAAGGTCTGGGCCTGTTATGAGCTTAAGTTACGACGAGTCACGAACTGAACAGCTGGCTAATAATTTATTTCCTTCAGTTCTTAAGGAATCCTAAGTAGAGACCCAAGACAAATCGTGGAGAACAACAAGAGCTACGAATGCCATTACACCATCGAAGGCATTTAAGAAGGGAGAGTGCCATAGTGCCATAGACGCATTGAGCAAGAGATTTATAAAAAATGGGTGAGTAATTAGTTGGCGAAGAACCACACGAATTGGAGGAAAGGGTTCATAGCTCAAGGTCGTACAAGGTAAAGGAAGTATACATCTCAGTAGTAGAAGGATTTCCTCAAGTGAGACCTTAAGTTGTCGAGGTGCACAAATTTCGAGGTCGAAATTTTTCTTAAGGAGGGAAATGTGAAATCTCTGTCGAGGCAAGCACTATCAAATGCAAGGTGTCTATCACAGTCTAAATTTCGCGGACCAAATTTTTATAAGGGTGGAGGAAATGTAACATCCCGAATTTATGAGTTGGGTTCGTCCAATAATCGATTCGGTTCGTGGTTGAGTAAGCTAATACTCATTATAAGTTGGGAGTTTTGTTTTAATTAATCTCTATTGATTAAACCTAAATTAATAGATTTTAATTAGAATAAAAAAAAATGGTCAAGAAATTGCTGGGTTGAAACTTGAAAGGTCGAGCTTCTCTTTCTAATTTTGAACCCTAATCGTAAACTAGAGAGGCACAGAGCCAGAGACAAGAGGAAGCTCGCTCCCCTCCCCTGCTGCCGCTTTCCCGAGCTTCGTCGATCTCACCTCCTCAAGCCGGCGACCCAGCGAAGACTAACACCCGCTGCGGCGAACTCTCTCCCCTATGATATGATATGATCCTAATTCGAGAATCCTCCCAAATCAAACCAAAAACCAGAGTTGCACACGTCGAACTTTTTAGGGGTTTTCTCCTCTCTTGAATAACATGAAAATAAAGATACTTGTGGAATCGATCAAACAAATCCGAACTCGTGAGAAGGGCCAGAAGGTATATAAAACCTTCCAAACAATCTCGAACCTGTGGAAGAGGCCAATCGATATCGTCGATGCTCGCCACAACTAGACGCGTTCTCTAGTTGATAAGAGACCACTCAAACCTCCCGAATCCTCAAAGGAGCAAATAAGCAAAACGTTCACTTGAAGTTGTAAACACTTGTATTTGAGTGCTGAAACTTGAATGAAAAATACATTGGTTGGACTCCTATTTATAGACCCACGAATCTAAACACAAAACAACTAAGGAAAACCAAATCCTACTTGAAAAAGGAAAACAAAAACCTTAACAAACAAGGAAAAGAAAAACCTTAACAAACAAGGAAAAGACTAAGTCAACAACTACCCTTGAATCTAGCCTTCAAATCCGCCCCCCTTGTGTTCACACTTGAAATTCCTTTCACACCTTGTGTTCACACCATGATCTTTATCCATTGTTGATTCCATGCACACCTTGAGACTCCTTCTCCATGGCCGACCCTCCTTCCCTCCCTTTGATCCCAATTTCGTGATCCACATAGCTCAATAGTCTGAGGGACTTTCCTTCTAGCAAATCCAAGCTTAAGCCCTCCAACTCCTTAGCCAAATAGCTTGCAATTTGATCCCGAAAAGCCTTAGCCCTTGCTCGAGTCATTGGCCCTTCAACTTGAGTGTGTTTGGCTTTGATGACCTCATCATGATACCGCTTTGTGTTTCCCTCCCCAGTGGTGCAACTCTGTGCTCCCCGATGACCACCATCCACTCCATTCAGGCTTTCCTTAAACTTAGTTAGGGATGTCGTAGAGCCGCAGTTATGCTCTTGAGACTTTTAAGTTGGGCAACAGTTATGCCCTTGAGAATGGTGGTGAAGAGCCACCGCGATAAGTTTAAGATGTTAGGGGGATGAATCGTTACGACTTCCCTAACTAAGTTTAAGGAAAGCCTGAATGGCTTCTCATACGTATGAGTTGGCAACCGGACTAGCTAGTGCGGGATCCCAGTGTCAGTCAAGTATTTTAAGTCGAGATTTGAGTTTTAAGAGAGGAGAGTAACTTCAACTCCCTCAAAGTTTAAGAGTTAAGATTTTAAGATTGGAAGTACAAACAACTTCCACTAGTTAAAGTTAAGTGTTTAAGTAAAGTACTCAAGTATTATAAGTATTTACACGTAAGTGCGTAGACTGACCCCATCTCACTCACCAGTTTGAAGAGCTAGAGGAAGAGCTAGAGGAGCATTTAGTGAGCAGCAAATTCGAGGGCAGGCAGCTAGAGGAGGGTAGTATAAGCATCACAGAGGATGCTTAGTCAAGGTTTCAGTAGCAACAACATTAGAGATTATTAGTTATTTACATTTATGATTAAGAGTATAGACTAGAGATCAGATTGAGATTTTAAAGTTTGAGTTTAATTTGCCCACGTGTTAGGTCTTTGCCCTGAGCTTCAAGTGTGTGTTTTCAGTATTTTATTTATGAAAATTTTTCCCGCTACAATTTAAGATTTGAGTATTTTGTTTATCAAGGGAATTTTAGTAATAGTAGTACCCGGCCGGGTTAGGGTGTTACAATTGTCGCCACCCAAAAAGCTTTTTCCCCATGTCCAAGACAATCGCCAGTCATTTGAACCAGTATCTAAGACCTCCAAGCAAGCTAGTGATGACAACCATCCCGTGAACTCTAAAATTTAGAGGTTGTCGCCGTGGTGAAGATACGATAGGGTCGAGTGCTGATGATTATGCTCTGTCTTTGCGCCAAAAAGGTCATGACACCACTGGTCAAGAGAGTGAGTGATTCATTCTTGCTTTGCATGTCATATCATACCCAGTTGAGGACTTTTGTTGTCCATTCGTTTGTTCCTTGGACTTGAATGTTATGCATGGTTAGTTGTGGTTGATAAGTGATCTTGTTGAGACTTGCATTGATTCATGAACAAGGTGAGAACTTTTCGTTTGCCCATTTTTGGTTACCTCGAATGTCATTTGTGGTGGATGTCAGTATTGCTTGCAACGGTCTATGTGTTAATTGCCAATAGCGATTGAGATTCGCCACTTTGTGCCCTTTGATTTGTCCCCAAAGCATTTTTTTGGTTGAGATATTGCCTTGTGCAAAATGGTTTGCTTGGGGACAAGCAAACGTCTAAGTGTGGGGGAGTGATTCGGGCCTAATTGTACAATTCTTATCCCCATTTCTCTTTGACTTTTGTGGCAATTGAGCTCCAAAAAGGGGTGGTTTTACGCTAGGTTTCTTGTGTTTTAGTGTGTTTTAGAGTCTAACAGGTGAAACCAACTCCAGAGTAGAAAGTTGGAAGAAAAGGAGCAAAGACCGGGAAAAAAAGGAGGAATTAGATGATGTTCATGGTCCAGCATTAGAGTTCACGGTCTCCAGGACCGTGAACTAGAACCACAACCCGTGAAGCGTCTAGAAGGGTTTTTGAGGTTACTGACGCCAAGGCTTTTCACGGTCGCTAAGACCGTGAACTGGAATCACAAACCGTGAACCCTAGAAGTGAAGCGGTGCTTTTTGGTCAAACTCACAGTGTTCACGGACACTTCTTGATGTTCACAATCGTGAACTTGGGCCGTGAACTAAGTGCGATCTCAGTATAAAAGGCCAGCTGAAAGGAAGTAGAAAAGGGAGAGACCTAGTGTGAGAAACTTCTCCTTCTTCATATTTCGAGAGTGAGAAAGTGACGAACCAAAGAAGAGGAGAAGCTAGGGTTTCATCTCCAAGCAAAGAATTTGGAATTCCTCCCCCAAAGGAGGATCTCTTCAACACAAGGTTCAAAGCTAGCATCTCTTTGATGGTTTTCCTTCTTCTCTCTTGTGTTTTCCCTTCTCTTAGCATGAAGTAGTCCCTTCTTTCACTTGGGTGTTTGTAAACCCTAGCTACAATTATGTGAATGCTTGTATTAATTGAATGATTTGTGTGTGGTTGTGTTTAATGTGAATGTGGAGGTATTGTTCATGAATGATTGTGTTGTGTGAAAGCCTATCAATCTAATTGCCATAATAACCTAGGTAAAGAGAAAACCTCCCTTCCTTTTTTTGAAAGAGGCTTGAATGCTGGATTTTCTTGGGCAATTCATTGTCTCCTAGTTAGGTTAATGCAGGGAAAACCTCCTATTTCATATTAGCACCTAGTTGTGGGTGGACGTCCGAACTCCGATTCGAGGTTTAAGTCTAACCAATCCTTAGTCAATAGGTTGAGAGAGTCGCATTAGTGGCTTGGATCATATCCCCTTTACTCGAACTAGAGACTAAGAGGGTAGCTTTGGTTACTTGTTAGACTTCCCTGCGGTTTACAACCTCCTCACCACACACGGCCATTCGATCCATCAAGTTGTAATTGCTAGCTAGGAGGAGCAACACCCTGGTGAAGCCTTCTCAATTAGTGTCAAAACCATTTTTCTTAGCAAGTACTTTAGCTTTAGATCTTTGTTTTCACCAAAACCATCCGCTAGATAATGTTCCAAACAATCGAAGTAGTGGTACATGGGCCGACCCGGGTTGATATTTAAACATACTTGCCCTATATTGCACCCATCTAAGGTTTATACTTGGGCCTTAGGTGGAATTTTACTGTGATAGTCAGAGCGAGTCGGTAGGTTGCCCCACAATCAGAAAAAGAACTGGTGATGGACAAGGAGCCAGAGGTTCAAGCCCTAAAGCCCTAGCCAACAGTGGCTAAATATAAATCTCAGCTCCCTTCCTTGCCAAGATGCAGAAAGACCGAGTACTGGCAGCGTTCGAGAACTTTATGCCCATTCTTAGGAAGCTGAATGTTCAAGTGCCCTTCCTGGAGGCACTATCTCATATACCTTAAGTTTGCAAAGTTCCTGAAAGACCTTCTTGAAGAAGAAGAAGAAGAAGAAGAAGAAGCTGAGTGAGCTGGCCACTATGGAACTCAACAAGGAGTGTTCGGCCATCCTACAGAACAAGCTTCCACGGAAGTAGAAGGACCCAAGTAGTTTCACGATCCAATGTTCTATCGGTAAAATGCATGTTGAGAGGTCCTTGGCAGACCTAGGTGCTTCTATTAATGTTATACCCTACTATATTCAAGAAACTAGGTCTAGGTGAACCAACTGCAACTAGGATGACTATTCAATTAGTTGATCTATCTATTGTTCCTCCTAGGGGCATAGTTGAAGACCTGACTCGCCACAGATACACCGCTAAATAAATCCTGACTAGAGCCCAAGTATAAACTCTGGCTGGGTGCAGTATAGGGAAAGTATGTTTTAATTGTCAAACCCAGTCCGGTCCATGTACCCCTACTTCAATCGCTTAAGTTTTTATCTAGCAAATGGTTTTGGGTTTAAAACTAAGAAAACTAGAAAATAAACAAACAAGTAAAGGAAAGCGAGGAGAATTATATATGAGAGGACTGCACTTGGGTATTGCTTCCCCTATTTCGTGCTAAGAAACAATGAACGAAACCCTAGTGTGAATGACGCATTCATACACCGTGAGACAGGTGCAACTAGCTAGGAACAAGCTCTCCTAGTCGATCGATCAAAGATTGCCACAATAAGCTACCGAACCTAGCTCTCTTAGTTGAAAAAACCGAGGAAACCCTAACTCTCTCAGTTGACCAATTAAGAATTGTTGCATTAAGTTAGTAGACTAACTCTCTTAGCCTTTCAGCTAAGGATGACAATAATAGGTAAGCAATCTAGCCCTTTTAAACAACGAACTAAGGACTGCAAGACCTAACCCTCAGAAGTTAATCCGGACGGCAGAGAGACCAATCACGTCTAAAACATGGTACTACTCCGCTACTTAAGGTTTTGGCCCTCGGATATAGAAAGTGTGCAGTAGGAGCATGTAGTGGCTTTGTCAGGTAAGCCTTTAGCTCGTAAAAGACCTGCCAGTGTTGATCATTTCTTTCCGTCTTCTTACAGTTATGAGGGGACTTATCCAACTCCAACCTTCAATCAATTCAAACTTGGACACAAACATGGACTCTCCTGGTGGTTCCTAGTCGCCACTCACGCCGAAAAGAGGTTAGAATATGCTCGAACAAAGTCGTAGATGCTCGTTCTATTTTGATTTGGATGGGCCGGGTCTCCCCCCTTACACATGGCCGGCCCTTCGGGTGTCTCGGTGATACAAACAAAGAAAAAACGAATTCCAATCACATCCTCTATCACTTAAAGCCAATCCTTACCAAAGGAGGAAATAGAATCGAATAATCTACCTTCTTTTTTTCTTCCCGTTGATTCCCCCCGACAATCAAGCTGCACTTCCTTCTAACAATAACAAGTGGCTGAGAGTTAGCAAGCAACCTTGGCCTCTTGGCAGGAGGTTCGCTGTCCCCTTCCTTTCTGGTCTGGCCGCGGTACGGCACCTGAACTCGAAGCTACGATCAGATCCGATTGGATCTGATCCTATCCGACCCAACTCCAGAACTTAGAATGGCCGGCGTGTTTTGGACAGTAGAACGGGAAGAGGGGGAGTCGTGCCCATTCTCTCTCCGAGCACGAGCATCTCTTTCTAGAAAGCGGTTTGAACTCCTCTTTGTTGCTTTTATCTTCTGCACCTCTCGGAGAATTTCACTTGTGAATGAATTTCCCCAAGCCTAATACTTTTTTAATCACTAGCATAGAATCTCCATAAACATTAATTTTGCAAGTACCCTGTGCCAATACGATTTCTAGACCCAAGATACATGTCGCGTCTGAGAAATCTGGAGGAGCGCCATTCAACGCTAATAGAGTTAAAGACTTCCATTGATTTGGTTCCAATTGTGCACATTTTACCCCTCATTTCTTGATATTTTGACTTTGCATTTCATCGTCTCTTGACCTATTTTATGCTAGGTTGTGCTTGTTTTGTTACATTTCAGGTCCTAGCACGTGTGGAAAGGTCGAGGATGAGTTTCGGGATGATTGGAGGTCGAAAAGCGCGAAAAAGTGAAGAAAAGTGAGGGGTTAGTCTATCTATTATGCTTGTGTGTGTGATTGAGTATGCCCAAATTTTGATGTATGCCCAAATTTTCAAAATTTGAGGGCTCCAAGCATTGCATGATCATTGTGGCCGGTTTGTTGGAGAATCTCGTGTTTATTGGCTTCGACCTCGGATTGATTTTTTTGATCAAGTGCATCCTATTATGATGATTGAGAATTGCATTAGGATAGTGCAAATGTTTAGTTCTCATGTATGCGGAAATGAATGGATGTCTTGACTTGATTACTCGTTGACAATTGCCATGCATCAAAATTAGTGAAATTGAAATAGATTTTTGGGAGGATAGGTAGTCATGTAGTTTTGTGCCTATCGTCTTTTGCATGTGTGATAGATCCATCTCGCCATGGTGTGTAACATTCACCGTTGTCACTAGTGACTATGATGGAGGCATAGGATTAGTCCACGCCCAAAAGATGATTGTCCCGAAACATTTTATCCCCTAGTCAACCCCTTTGAGTAGTGTGACTTTGGAGGTCGTTCTCATGTTAGGGGCTTGTTGCTTGTGAGCTTAATGGTGATTGATAGAACGACCCCTCGTCCTTTCTTCGTTTCTAAACCGTTGTGAGTCATCCTTTGTGTCTCAGAGTTCACGCTTTTGAGCTCAACTGGGGTTCTTCATAGGTGGATTTTGCACGGTTCTTGCTAGGAATGAAAAGGTAGCGTTGGACAAAAGTTCTTCATTAAGAGCATTGTTCGTTAAGTGTAAAAATGGCATGTGTTTGGCTCTCTAATACCCCCCTCAGAAAAAAAAAAGTAGAAAAAGGAATCGAAAAAAGGTAATAAACGGGGTAAATAAAGATAGAGAGTTTCCATGAAGAAATGATGTGTATGCTCTATAAAGGGTTTCTTGGCACTCAAGCCATTGAAACACCTAATTGATGGTTGACCTCCTTCCCTACTTTGACTGAATTTTGGATAGCAAGATACGCCGAATAAGTGTGCTTGAATGTATTTCATGATTGGTAGTGGTTTGAAAGAAGGGAAGTATGGTTTTTGGCGGATGATAGTGGCCTTTGATCATAGGAAAGGTTCTAGTCGAAACAATAGAACCTTATGTCTTAGGTTGAAGATGTAGAACCTCATGCTTTGCTTGCCACCACCCTAAAGGCATTTTCCCCATGTCCAAGACAATTGCTAGCCATTTGAACTCGTGTCTAAGACTTCCGGACAAGCTAGTGACGACAACCATCCCGTGAACTCTAGCATTTAGAGGTTTCCACCGTGATGGAGAGATGATAGAATTGAGTGTTGATGATTGTGCACATCTTTCGCACCAAAAGATCCCGACCCTACTGGTTGAGAGTGAGTGCTTCATCCTCATTTTGCATCTTCATATCTTATCCCGGTGAGGCCCTATGTTGCCCATTCGTTTGTGCCTTGGACTTGAGTTCTATGCATGGTTAGTTGTGGTTGGTAAGTAGTCCGGTCGAGACTTGTTTTGATTTGTGAGAAGGGTGAGAACTTTTT